CTTTGAATTTTTCGTACAATAACCTTGAAGATCTTCTTAGTTTATATTCTTAATTGTAAGTTTTTTACTTTTTTTTCAGAAAAAGTTTATTTTCCGTGTTTTGTTTTCCTTTTCTATTATTACTTATCGCAACACATGTCAATGGCCATTCTCAGGGTTTCCTCAGCAGCATCACTTTAACTGTCATCAGAACATTGAGACATTTGCCTACTACACTGAACCTGATAAACTAAAGCAGTTTGGCTTATATCTTAAAAATTTATTAGACTTTCTAATATGCATTTTAAAACATAACTAACATGTAATTAACTAAAATATAAAACTCAAACCTAAATTAAATTTAACTGTCTATCTAGCTAACATATTTATTGGTGAGAAATAACACTAAAGCACTAGCGTGCATGCAAGCAGCAACAATGCTAAGTTACGTATGGCATTCTTTGAATCAATTTTAAAATAACTGTTGGGAAATAGTATTTCAAAATGTGGTCTTTCTATTGGTTACAAACATCTGGCTTAACAAAGTATAATTGGCTGAGAAATTGACATTGTATGTGTAGAGAGTGGGCATGGCATCTATCAAGAGTTCCAAGAAGTTTAATTCTCTTTCCCACTAACATCCCATAAAGAGCTTGAAAGAAGAATGTGTGAACAGAACAATTATTGTAATTTCTGTCTATATGTAGAAGTATATTGTACAGAAAGAACTATTTAAATTACAGAGACAGAAAGTGAAAATTTTGTGAAGTTTCTTTTGAAATAAAGGAATTAAAACTTAGATATTATAAAATGTTCAACTAAAATGTAAATTTTAATGCTAATTTCATTGGTACATATTGATAGTATACCAATTACTTATTTAAATTTTGAACATAACAAAGTAAAATTTCGTGACATGCGCAGTACAGGGGTGCCTGTAATTAGAGGATTAACTGGTGAGGGGGACTATTATAAATGTTGTGTATATATAAAGTGATCTAACACTGTCTGGGAGTGGCACTTAGAATCTGTTTCATAAATCTTTTAATATTTAAAATTAAGATTAATTTTGTATGTACCATAATACAGAGTGGTCGAAAATTATCTTTCCTATTTTAAAATTTAATGATTAACTAACATCTTGTAGCACAACTCAAACAGTTTTCATTGACATGTCAGTAGACTTCTGTGTGTGCACCATTAGTGGCTCTCAGCACATTTACCTGTCTGTGTTTGCTGCAACATGTCCACAGTTAACAGTGGCAGTGGTGTACATTATCCTAGTCTTTAACTATGTGATGTTTGCTGTAGGTATGTGATGCACGATATCCTTAACATACCCCCATACTTCTTTCCTGTACTGGCATCTGTAATTATGCTACAACACAGTCACTGACTTGGTCTCTGCAAGCCAAATGATGCATTGAGCCTTTTCTTGCACGTTTGCCATTTTACAGGGTAACACTACTCACTGGAGTGAAAAAACAACATGATAATAAAATCTGTTTGAGTTGGGCTACAAGATGTTGAAAATTTCATGTTTGTATTTCATTAGTTATTTAATTCTTAAATTTCAAAATAGGGAATATAATTTTGGTCCACACTGTATTTATATTCAGTATCCAGACAGTATCCAATAATAAAATATTCACTTACAAATATAAATTAATCACTAATATTTAAACTGAATGGTCTTTTATATCATGACAGTCTGACTATTCAAAATTAGGAACAGCTATGCATAGATAGCCTTCTATGTAGCTTTGTGTGAAATTCTGAAATAAACAAACTATATTAATCCTAGTTCAAAAGTAATCATGATATTGGACATGACACATTTAGACATGCCCATTCTCTACAAAATTGTCACTACGTACTAAACTTGTATTTAATTAATAAACTGAATTCTGAATCCAAACTGAGAAGATTAATAAGTTTAACTTAACTACAAAAATTAGCCAAGATAAACATATTGTTAAGCCAGCACCTGAGACTGGAAAGTCTTTATGGTTACCGTATTTTTCAGTGTATAAGATGCACTTTTTACCCCAAAATTTGATGTCAAAATCTGCTTGCGTCTTATACACCGAAGGTATGAATAATATATATATATATATATATATATATATA